AACAGCAGAAAATTCACGTGGACACTCTCTGCCCTTCAAATTCAGAACCATGTGCGTTTGCATTTGTATTTTGCAAAAGTTGGGCTTCAGTTTTGATTTGTCTGTAGGACAAGTCAAAATTGACCCAACTTTTGCAAAAGCTCTGTCATATTTTATGCATTTTAATGCGTTTTTTGCATCAATGCAATGCGAAAGACGCATATTGACGAGAGGTTGTCTGTGTATATGTGTGTCTGTGTCTGTGTATCTGTGTGTGCGCTTCACGTCCGTACCGATTTTTCATCTCGAGATCCACAAAAGCTACAGGGTTGGAACTTTGGGGAGTTAATCTACATGCACATACGGGCCTCCTCCCCCAAAATGGGCGGTCTTACCCGCGTGTTACCCATGTAAGAGCCCGCCAAAGTTATTTCGGGTACGCTGCTAACTCACGAACCAGAAAAGCTAGAGGGCTGAAATTTTAAAGAGATGTTCCCTATACAAGCAGGTATTAATGAGCTGAAATCCAGCCCCTGGGTAGGCGTGGTACCCGCGTACGGGCCCGCCAAAATTTTTCCCGCGTAAATTCATAACTCGGGGATCTGGGATGCCAGAAAGCTGAATTTTAAGGGAATGTCCCCGTCCAAGTAGCTACTAATGAGCTCAAACTCAACCCCGGGTAAGCGTGTACCCGCTTATGGGGCCGCCAAAATTTTTCCCGCTCAAATTCATAACTCGGAGATCTGAGATGCTAGAAGGCTGTAACATTTAGAGGGTGTTTCTCGTCAAGATTACTCTCAACGAGATCAAACCGAGCCCTCGATCATGCGTGGTACCTACGCACGGGTTCACCAAAGCTCTTCTCGGATAAGCTCATAACTCGAGAACCTGTAAAGCTAAAAGACTGTAGTTTTAAGAAGATGTTCCCCGTTCAAGTAAGTCTTAACAAGCTCAAACCCAGACATCGGGCATGCGTCGTACCCGCGTGCGGGCCCGTAAAAGTTTTGCTAACTCAGAAGCCAGGAAAACTAGAAAGCTGAAATTTTAAGGGGTGTTTCTTGCCAGTTCTGGCAGCCAGTCTTAATTTGTTTAGCTTGAAGCATTTGCCGAAGAAACCGATGCCAGTAAAGACAAAAATTGCGGGAAACTCTGCGAAAAGCGCATCTTCGCACGGGCAGCCGGTGCGTTGGCCAATCATTGAATCGTGATGAAGTGCCAGAACACATATTGTTCAGATGTTGCTTGTGTACTTGTTTATATGTCTTTGCTTTCTGTTTTTCAGACATAGGAAATCATGAGACTGATATTTTGTCAATTTTGCCCGTCACTGTTGTCGCTTTCCAAACGTAAAATGATCTTTCAACACAGCGATGTTCTTTTTTTAGGGCGCTGAAATGGAGGAAGCAGAGTGGTGAAATGAATTTTGGGATCTAATCGAACTAAAATTTGAAGTCGTATGGGTATTTTTCCTTTGTATGCGACATAAAAAATCCAAATTTGGCATTTACGCATGCCAATCTTTTGCGCATGAATAAAACAAATTTAATACCAGGATTAGGACTGCACATGCAAGCTCTGCAACCATAAAATGTTTTCTAGCTGTGTTTTAGGCTCGTAAGCTTAAAATGAGCTTTCGCACACATCTGTGCTCCGCGCTTCAAACTTTCAACATCCAGTTTGCCGAATTGCCTACTTCCTCCTGTCTCTGATATCAAGACCTAATTTCTCTGGGGGCTTTATCTGTCGTGAATGACTTCAACGGCATAAAATTGTCTGCGATGCGCGTTTACGTCTTGTGTACGGGCACATCAAATTATGCTTTGGTGCACATCTGAAAACGATTTTTTCTTTTAAACAAATATGCCAGCACCAATTTACTATTGAAACGAGTCAACAGTTTGTACAAGAACCGCTTTTATTTAGTGGAGCAGACGACTGGGTTACTAATTTTCTTTGTCCGTCTCGGGTTACTTTCTTTTTTGCCGCACTTTCATTCAGTATGTGTACAAACATGCCGGTGTCAAAAAATAGCCGATCGTAGAATCACTAGCGGGTGTCGCTAATTCATGCATCTTTCGTGGTCTTAATCAATCTATCAGGTAGGCGTGAAATATTTTTGAAACAGTAACTGTTGGATGGTATTCACATAAGTGGATCCAGGAGGGAAGGGGGCGAAAGCACAAGCACCAGTGCCGCAAAAACCCGGGTCTAAAGCTTAAATTAAAGTAAACTAAAATTTGAAGTAACTCTAAGCAGCAGTGTTACAACTCCGTTCCTAGTTTTTGCATAACCCTCCCACGTATTTTCCATCCACCCATTGTCGCCTCTTCCCCTCTCCGCAGGGAACCCCATTTCCCCCACTTCCCTCTCCCCCTCCCCGCCGCCCCCTCTCTTCTCTCTTCATCCTCCTTCGCCACCCCTTCTACCCCGGAGTCCGCCCTGGACCGCTTATGGGCACCAATGCAGTTTAAAATGAACGCAAGAAAGGTCTCAATACAGTGAAAGGATTCTTTGTAATAGCTGTGTATGGAATAACGTGGGTGGAAGAGAACCAAAGTAGAGAAGAATGGAGAATATGCTTGCTGGATCAACGGCGAGAAAAAACTTGGCGATGAAACAATAGCTGGTCGAAAACGCAAAGCAACAGTCATACGAATTGTTCTGCTGACTGATAAGTGTGGGTTGAAAACGACAAATTTGAAGTTATGAGTTTTATTCATTTTAGGATTGTCAAATGTGATGCAGCAAAAGTATTCATGAAAAATCAGAAGACGGGTTGGAAAGTGTATCTCTGGCAAACAACACCGGTCTTGCCCGTCCAGACAGTTTGGCAACCGGCGTCATCCCAGTTATACGTTCCAGCATAATTCGAGATAGCACAGGTAACATCAGGAGGGCAGCAACCATCTGGCTCTCCAACTCTCCAGGTGCTGTTTACGGCTGGTTCATAACCAAAAGGTGTGCTCCAACCCATGGTTGATGCAGTAACGTTGTTCTGAGCCGGTACTTGCCAGATGCCATTTATTTTACGAATTCCAATCCAGAACGGTCCAGCATCTGCACCTCTATTCTGTGTGAATGTAACTGAAATAGGCTTTACCATTTCTAAATAACATACGGTACAAATGTGAATGTGTTTTTTCTTTTAAATGCGACAAAGAATTACATCGGCTTTAATAATGAAAACCGAAAATTTTTTGTTTTTTATTGCGAAAACGTTGTGAAAACCCAGGAAAAGCCGACAAGAATTAGAAAGTGTGCGTTACTTTTGCTAACAGTCGCCATACATGCCAACTGGTAAATACTCAACTTCACGACATGAGGCATCGCGGGGGGAGAGTTAATGTTGCTCATAAAGCGCCACAATTAGAGAAGTGGAAAGACAGCGGAAATATGAAAAGGTCTGTTT